TGATCAAAACAAACAAACTTTGGAATATTAATATATAAAGCATTATTACCCTCTCTGGCTCCCTTTTCACGGTATAGAGATTTGATCAATTTATCGCTTCTCTTTTGTTTTAAAGAAACAGCACTTACCAAAACTTCTAAATAACAAATGAAAAATAGATGAGTTGGAAAAAACAGTGAAAAGCATTTTAATATACACAGATATCATTAATGTGCATAGCACCTCCACCCAGTACAAGAACTTGAGGATTATTTGAGTTGTAAAAATCAGTTTGGGTATTTAATAGCATTCATTCTTATGCTTTGCTTTTCAGAGATGACTTGGCATTTTATAAATATTGTCTTATATGCCAGCCAGCCTGACCTGTGTGTGACCATGAGTCTCCCTAGAGAAGGAGCTGACCTCTGCTGTTCTTATTTTTCTTCTTCTTTTTTTTCCCCCCTCTGAAAGCAGGTGTCACATCTGTCACTACTTGGACACAGTAGACTGTGCTAATTAACTTATAAATTATGTCCATGTGGCATAGTCTGTCTCCTGTGAGGCAGTCCTATTTGTTTGTTATGCTACATCAGTACAGGGTTAAAGAGGGCCACCAATTTTGCATAAACACCAGCCTAAATGTTTGCACACTGGAGAGCATGTACTGTGTTTCTCTGTATTGTCCACTGGGGCTTTAGTAACTGGGTATGCACACGTACCTGTTGAATGATTTACAGAACAGAAAGAAGTGGGTTTTTTGCATATATTTGATGGAGGGGTTTAGGGAGTTAAAGGCTTCAGCTCTGAGGCCACTTGAAACATAATCACTGGTGATTTGAGGAACTGAAATTTGACTGTTTGCCTGTTGTCATCAAGACTTTTGTCAGCACTTTGAGTTAGGTAATAGTGATCTGATTTACACAAGCATCCTAGATGCATGCTTAGTGCTTGAAACTAATTACTGTTTGCACAAATGGGCAGATTAGAAGTGGGAAAGCACTTTTCTTCAATGAGGAACTGGCCACCCAATGCTTGTTAAGAGCAGGGAATCAGGACTTTGGATGTTTCATGGTCTCTCATAGTTTCTTCTCGATGGCACCTAACATTTCTTCTGATTGACTTATGTTTGCATATTTCAAAAAAAAGTATTCCAATTGTCCTTCTAGATAGCATCTAATTTTGTTGTTGTTGTTGAGTGAATGTTAATGTTGTGCTTCAAATGTCCATTTAAATCTTGAAGGTCAGCTTTGATAAAAAGGGAAATCAATCTTTTCTATTGCTAGATGCTGTTTAACTGATTCCAACTCACAGGGACCTTACATACAACATGAAAATATCACTCGTTTCTGTATCTGCCCCACAGTGATGTTATGCTTGAACCACTTGTTATAATCACTCAATGGGTTTATCTCATTGAAAGTCTTCCTCGATTTTATCAAGCATGATATCCCTTTCCAGGGACTGATCTGACTTTATAACATGTCTAAAGGCTCTTAAAGGCCCAAATAAGTATGAGCTTTTTCTAGAAGGAAGAAAGTTCATTTGCATTTTCTTATTTGCTTTTAATATAACACCTGCTTAGAAAGAAGGTAAATAACTGTCAAAGGAAAGCAAATAATAACTGTTAAAACAAAAGTTGTTATTGTTGATCTAACGTGCCATCAAATGGACCACGACTCATAGCCACCCGATGAATGACAGCTGTTAACCCTGCTCTGTCCTGAGCCAAGCTCACTGTCTCTGACACACCTACCCTTATTACTCCAGCCAGTTACTGTGTCAATCCACATCATCTGGGATCTTTCTCTCCTGTGCTGTCTGAGCCCTTCTGGCAACATACCCAAAGATTGTGAGACAGAGCCTCAAGATCCCGGCTTCCACGGAACAGCTTGGCTTTTCTCTCTCCAGGAGAGATCTGTCTTGGCAGTCCATGGTATGGTCAATACTCTTCTCTAGCACTGCAACTCAAAGGAATCAATTCTTCCTCTGGTTCTTTGGTTGTTGTCCGGCTCTCTGATACATAACAGGTAATTGCAAAACCATGGTCTATATGAGGTGCATCTTAGTCTCTAGACTAACATCTTCGTCCTTAGCACTCTGGATAGGTCCCTTGTAGCAGATTTTCCTAATGCAATTATTCCTTTGTTATCTTGACTGCAAGAGTGTTGATTGTAGAGCCAAGCAAGCTAAAATTGCTAACAATCTCAATCTCTTCTCCATTTATCACGATAGTGCCAATTGGTCTAGTGGTGAGAATGATTGTCTTCTTGATGTTGAACTTCAATCTATATTGCAGACTACAGTCCTTCACCTTCTGTAGCAAGCACTTCCTGCCTCCTCACTTTCAGCAAGCAAGGTTGTGCCATTTGCATAACTCAAGTTGTTGATGATCCTTCTTTCAATCCTGATGTCACATTCCTCCTCATAAAGTCCAGCCTCCCAAATGATCTGTGCTGGTATATAGTTTGAAAAGGTGTGGAGACTGGACAAGGTGCATCCCTGACACGTTCCTTTCTTGATTTTTGAACCATTGCAGTGTTTCCTTGCTCTTATTTGAAAACTGCCTACTGGTCCTAGGATAGGTTTCACATGATAATTTGTATGCAGCCACTAAAATAAATAGCTATTAACCTAAATGAAATACGTGACTAAATAGGTATTGATGTGGTTCTAGACCATCTAGTTGATTCTGACTAATAGAGACCCTGTAGGATAGTATAGAAACACCAGATAGGGTTCCTGAAGCTGTAAATATTGTCCAAGTGGACTACCATACCTTTCTCCCAAGGAGCAGCTGGTGGATTCAAATTTTAAAACTCCAATTTCCTTAACCACTGCAGCACCAAAGTTCCCTTAAGTAGATGCCAGTAGTACAATTAGATTTTTAATCCACCGTGTGTGTGTGTGTGTGTGTGTGTGTGTGTGTATACAGATCTTGAGGCATCACTTTACTATCTGAATGCTAGTTGTATTGTAGTAATAATTGACCAAAACATGACTGCTCAAAGAGCCTGCCTAATTCCATTTGGATTTAATTATCATTTATTTGGGAGTCAGCTCTATTCCTGGCTAGATATTTTTCAATGCATGTTGAATTAATCTTTTAAGAAAGGATTAACAGATGTGGATAGAAGTATTCATCAAGGCTAATTTTAAAACGCCAACTGTCATATTTGACAAGATTTCTACCAGTTGAAGCTGTCAGTCAAGTGCAACCCACAATTCAAGTGATAATAAGTTAGAAAAGTCACCAATATAATGAGGTTCATTTAGCAGTATCTTGTTTATAAGGACTGCACTGTCTAAAAAGCACATGGAGTTTTATGTTAGAGATGAACACAAATTGAGCCAGGACCCAGCCAGACAAGCAATGGTGACCCACCTAAGCTTTCTAAGCTTCTACAAATTCATTTAGAAATTAGAGATAAGAATAATTACCATAAACCATGGACTTATTTTGAGAAATCATTGTTATAAGCCATTTTAAATAATAGGTAAAATACACGAACTATTATGCAAACTTAACTTGTTAAAACTCTTATCAGTTGATGCACAGGAGAAAAATGGGCAATCTCTTGAGTGATTTACTGCCTCTGAAAACCCAACAAGGGTCAGCTTTTGGTCCATTTTGACTCAGTAGGCTATAACAATGACAACAATTATCTAATTATATTTAGGGATCACATGAGAAACTGGACTTTATGATGAAGAAGACTGTGGTCTCAAATTTGGATTAGAGGAAGGCAGATCAACAGCCTGTGTTGTACAGATGACACGACCTTTCTTCCAGAAAGTAGGAGGACCTGAAGCACTTGCTGCAGAGGATCAAGGGCTGCAGCCCTCAATATGGATTCCATCTCAGTGTTAAGAAAACAATAGGCAACATCATGATAGATAGAGAAAAGATTGAAATCATCAACAGTTTCATCTCGCTTGGATCCACAATCAAGTCCCTTCATTTCAGCCATAAAGAGAGAAGAAAATACATAGAATTGGGAAAGGCAGCTGTCACACATCTCTCCAAAGTCCTGAAGAGCAATGAAGTAATTTTAAAGACTAAAGTGTGCAGTCTTTCCAGTCATGTGCTATGCATCTGAGAGTTGAACAATGAATAAGGATGACAGGAGAAGAACTGGGGCAGATACAGCTTCAATCCACCTCATGAAGATCTTTCTTTTTATTATCGGTCCTTTACTTTATCAAACGTGATGTCCTTTCTGGGCACTGGTCCTCCTGGTAACATCTACGAAGCATGTGAAACCAAGTCTCACTATCCTTCCTGTAGCAGAATATCCTTCCTTCCTTCCCCTTCCTTCCTTTCCCTCCCTCCCTCCCTCCCTTTCTCTCTCTCTCTCTCTCTCTCTCTCTCTCTCTCTCTCTCTCTCTCTCTCTCTCTCTTTCTTTCTTTCTTTTTTTCTTTCCTTTTGAAACAGCACAGGAGAGGAAGACTCCAGATGAGATAGATTGACATAGTAACTAAGGGTTATAGGGGTAGGTGTGTCAGAGACAGTGACATTGGCCCAGGACAGAGCAGGGTTCATGTTGTGCGTAGAGTCGCTGTGGGTCACGGTCAACTCAATATCATGTAAAAACAACATAACGTACTTTTTCTCTTTTTTTTTTTACGGAACACTTCTTGCTGATCTTCTCTGTATCGTTCCAATTTTAGTACATGTGCTGCCGAAGCGAGCACATAACGAATTTTTTTATATTTAAAAACAAAACAAACAACAAAGCTACCCGTACCTTCACCTCCCGAAACATCATATTTCCTTATCTGAAAAAAGGAGGCACAACAGTAGTGATATCCCAGTAGGTCCCTAACGTAAACTAAACCTCGAGAGAATATGAACAATTTATGAATAGTTTCAGCAACAAGTTTTGGTTGGCATGAAAACCAAGGTCTTTTCACCTGTTAGATTATCTCAAGTTGGCTCTTGTGCAGCACGGTGACACATGCAGGTCTGCAGCTGGGCTAGGAGCTCAGGTGGGTCTCAGAATGTATTTCTTCCCCTCTCCAGGCTCTACTGGCTGTGGCAGATCAGCACAGAGCCGAGGTGTGGAAGGGCCCCCGCCTGGAATGATGGGCCGCAGCCCTGTCCTGCATGGCCCCATGGGGAGCCTTACGGTCACTGCAGGACTCTGCCCCACCACGGGCCCTCTGGGCTGGTGTCCAGAAACCCTCACCCAGAAAGCCCAGCAGCACCAGGAGGCAGGAGCCAGAATGCCCCCCAGGATAGTCGACCCAGCGCCTTCTGGCCAACTTGTGCACATCCTCTCTGAGGAGTTACTCTTTTGTGTCATCGAGTTGACCAGGACTCACAGCGACACTATGCACAATAGCTCTGAAACCTGTTCTATCCTGAGCCTACTCTACAGTACACAAGAACAACAGCAATTAGTGTTGCTGTTATAATACCAATGACCACAGACTACTAAGCTGCGAATTCCTACATAATGTTTGTGAGCTACTTTTTAGCCATTTACTATGAGATTCTCATTATTATAAACCAAAGCAAAACAAAAACAAAATACCTAAGTAACAAAAAGGTTATTGTTTGAAACAAGAATAAAATAGTGGAAAAAATGAATAAAAGTTCACAGTTTTGAAAACAAATTTCAACTATAATATTTTCTTAATCTATTTGCCAATTCTGAAAATTGTTGTTGATCAAGAAGCCAACACATAAGGAAGAAATGCAGATATAAAAAATCTATTAACAGGAGGTTGCAAAAGGTAATTTGAGAATGTTGTTGTTGTTATGTGCTGTCGAGTTGCTTGTGACTCATAGTGACCCTATGTACAACAGCCCTAAACTCCGCTCTGTCCTGTGCCAATCGCACTGTCTCTGACACTCCCATCCCAATTATCCCAGTCACTGAATCAATCCACCTCAAAGAGGGCCTTCCTCTCCTGTGCCTTCCCTCCACCCTCCCAAACATGATGTCCCTCTCCAAGGACCGGTCTCTCCTCACAACATGTCTAAAGTATGTTAGACAGAGCCTCAGAATCCTTGCCTCCAAGGAGCCAGCCGGTTTAACCCTTTCCAGGATGAATCTGTTTGTTTTCCTAGCAGTCCATGGTACCCTCAGTATACTTCTCCAGCATCACAGCTGAAAGGCATCAATTCTCCTTCTATCCTCCTTGGTCATTGTCCAACTCTTTGATGCATAACAAGTGATTGCAAAGACCATGGTCTGTATCAGGTGTACCTTAGTCTCCAGAGAGACACCATTGCTCTTCAGTACTTTGGAGAGGTCCCTAACAGCATTATAACAGAATGTACAAAGAACTGGAGTTGGAGAACAAAAGGGAGGTCTTGCTCTCCATTTCTGGACTTGAAAGACAGAAAACACATTCAAACCTTGAGTTTCAATACTGAGTCAGTGTGCCAAAAAGAACTGGTCAATACTGAAAAATTTCAGGAAAAACAGTATGAACAAGAAACAATGATAAATAAGGAAGAAGTTCAAACTTCACTGAATGCACTTACAAAAAATAAGGCCCCAGGAATTGTTGTGATACCAATTAGCATTGTTCAACCAATAGATTGGCATTGTTTAACGTGATCACTAGTTTCTATCAAGAAACTTACAGGATAGTTCCTTGGCCAAGTGACTGAAAGAGGCCCATATTTGTTCTCATTCCTAAGAAAGGTGATCCAATAGAAGAAGGAATTATTGAACAATATAATTAATATCATAAGCAGGCAAAATATTGCTGAAGATAATCTAAAAATGGCTAGAGCAATACATTGACAGAGAAATGCCAGAAGTTCAAGTTGGCGTTTAGGAGGCACTTAAGATATTGCTGATACCAGATGGATCCTGGTTGAAAGCATAGAAGGGCAAATATTTGAGCAGATTATGGCAAACTATGGCTAGCATTGAGATGAAAGGGAATATCCAAACATTTAGTTATGTTCATATGCAACCTATTCAGGTGGGACAGACTCATAAAATATAGTGGGTAACACTGAAAAGAATGGAAATCCTAGAACAATTGACTGTGATCATGTGAAGCCAAAATCTTGACAAGGAAGCTTTTGTCCTAAAAGAGGTAGGAGATGCTACATGGTTCAAAGTCAAGAAAGGAATGCATCATGTCTGTATCCTTTCTCCACACTTTTTCAATGTCTGTGAGAAAGAGATCATTCAAAAGTTTGAACTTTATGAAGAAGAATTTGGTACCAGTATTGGAGAAAGACTCACCAATAACCTGCATTATGCAGATGACAACCTTGTTCACCGAAACCGAGGAGGACTTGACCTATTTGCTGCAGAAGGTCAAGAACTGCAGACTTTAATATGGATTGCATCTCAACATCAAGAAAACAAAGACACCACTGGGCCAATTGACAGTGTCATCATAGATGGAGAAGATTAAGGTTGTTAACAAATTTCACCTTGCTCAGATCTACAATAATACTCTTAGAACCAAAAGTCAGGAGCTCAAAAGATTAATTGATTTGGAAAAATCCCCTGTCAAGGATCTGTCCATATGCTCGAGGTCAGTCTAGACACTAGTGTGTCTGATCTAGGTCATGGGCTTCTCAATTGCTTGCTATTTTTCTGAGAGCATGACAGTGAATAACAATGACAGAAGAAGAATTGATGCCCTTGGGTTGTGCTGGAGAAGAGCACTGAACATGCCATGGACTGCCAAAAGAAAGAGCAGGCCTCTCTTGGAGAAGGTGAAACCAAGTTGCTTCTTGGAGGTAAAGATTTGGAAACTCCATCTCACATACTTTGGGCATGTTTCCAAGAGAGAAGAGTCCTTACAGAAGGACATCGTATTTGGAGAGGTCAGTCCAGGATAGGAAGATCTTGAATGAGATTGACAGAGTAACTATGACAATGCGGTCAAGTGTGTTAGAGATGGTGACGGTGGCCTGCAATAGGGCAAGGATCAGAAATTTTGGTAATAGGGCCCATAAACAACTCAATGGCATCTAACAAAGCATAACTAGGCCAATAAGCTGTTGTCTGAACATAGCCAGGGAGAACTGCATGGATTAAAATTTGGAAAGATTGGTACCAGGGTTGTATCCTTTTTTCATACTTATTCTATTTGTATGCTATACAAATCATTTGAAAATTTGAACTTTATAAAGAATAAGAATGTGGCATCAAGTTTAGAGGAAGACTGATTCATCAACAGCCTGCCTTATGCAGATGACCTAGTCCTGCTTGCTGAAAGTGAGAACTTGAAACTCTTGCTGCCAGAGATCAAAGACTACAGACTTTAATATGGATTGCATCTCAAAACCAAGAAGATTAAAAAAATCCTCTCCACTGGAAAAATAAGCAACATCATGTTCATCTGCTTCAGATTCAGGTAAGGGTTTCAAAGCACTTGTATTCACAACATCCTTGGTACCAGCAGTCAGGAGATCAGGTGACACATGGCATTGGCATGTCCTTTATCTTGGATCACTCCAAATTACTGAGGAAAAATGATGTCAGTTTGAGAACTTGGGTATGCCTGATTCAGGTCATGGTCTTTTCAGTCACTTGATAATGTATCTGAAAGCTTGACGATGTATAAGGATGCCAGAGGGATAACTGATGTCTTTGAACTATGGTGTTGGAGAAGAGTACTGAATATCCTATGGACCACCTAAAGAATGAACAGATTTGTATTGGAGAAAGTGCAGCCAGAATGCTCCTTGGAAGCAAGCTGGCAAAGCTTTGCCTCACATAATTTGGGCATATTGCTAGCAGAGGCTATTTTTTTTGAAGATAGACATAATGCTTGGAAAGGTCAGCAAAAGCTAGGAAGACCCTCGATGAGATGGATTGACAATGTGACTGCAGCAATGGGCTCAAGTGTGCCAGAGACGATAAGGATGGCACAGGATAGGACATGTTACAGGTTTGCTTTTCATAGGATTGTTGTGAGTCATACTTGATTCAATGACACCTAACAACAAGAATCGGAAAAATACTCTGATGTCTATTGGAACTTCTTTTAATTAAAATACAAGAATGACATTAACAAGGGATATGTATTGGATTTTGTCCCCCTAAAACATATGTTGTAAATCTTAAAAATTTACGTTTGTGTTTACATTCTCAATATATTCTCAAAGAATGGGTTTTCTTTATTATGTTAATGAGAGAGCATAAGTGTGGCAGTTTGCTAGGGATGCATTAGGTTATAATTAATATTGGAAATCTAAGAATACAGTTCTTTAACAAAGACAGCTGCTTTTCAGATTTGCTCTCGGGTAGATGACCTTTTGACTCTGGACTTTCAGGCTGTAAATCTGTCTCAGATTCAGGTAAATATTTCAAAATACTTTTACCTCTACTAACTCTGTTGCCCATCACTTAACTGGCTGTGAATCCTAGGCCAAGGTGCTCAGCTCTTGTTCTTTGGGGTAGGAGATCTAGCTCAACTCTGTCTCACAATAGTCTCTGGTTCTCCAATGCCTTTACTGTTGAAGGGACCATCACCATTCATCCCCCCCACCCCAAACCTTCTCAACTTTAGTCTGATTGGACAGTGAAAGTGAAAAATTCTCACAGTAGTGATTTTTTGTATGGGAATACCAGAAGAATGTCTATCTGTGTTTCATTGATTATGCAAAGGCATTTGACTGTGTGGATCATAACAAACTGTGGCTGACTCTGAGAAGAATGGGAATCCCAGAACATTTAATTGTGCTAATACGAAACCTATACTTGGACCAAGAGGCAGTAGTCAGAACAGAGCAGGGTAACACTGCATGGTTCAAAATAGGGAAGGGTGTACGCCAGGGATGCATCCTGTCTCCATACCTGTTCAACATGTATGCAGAGCAGATTATTCGAGAGGCTGGGCTCTATGAGGAGAATTGTGACATCAGGATTGGTGGAAGATCTATTAACAATCTCCATTATGCAGATGACACAACCTTGCTTGCTGAAACTGAGGAGGACCTCATGCACTTGCTGCGAAGGGTCAAGGACTGCAGCCTTCAGTATGGACTAAGGCTCAATGTCAAGAAGACAAAGATTCTCGCCACTGGACCAACTGGCAGCGTCAGGATGGATGACGAAGAGATTGAGAGTGTTCACAGCTTCACTTTGCTCGGCTCCACAGTCAACCCTCTTGGTACCAGCAGTCAGGAAATCAAAAAGCATATCGCGGTGGGAAAGTCTGCCATTAGGGACCTCTCAAAGGTACTCAGGAGCAACAGTGTCTCCCTGGAGACTAAGGTGCGCCTGATACAGGTCATGGTATTTGCAATCGCTTGTTATGCATCAGAGAGTTGGACAATGACTAGGGAGGACAGAAG